CTAGGGGATACTAAGTAGACTTACTAAGTCAAGTGGGCCTCCGAGTAAACCCAAACCCCTAAACCCTAAACTCTAAACCCTGAACCCTAAAGGGGTTCAGGGTTCAACGCAATATCTGATGGTCTCTTGTGGCTCGAACAAATGCCTCCTGCGGCCAACTCTCCAAGACACCGGACCCTGTACCCTGCTTAGGGGTTTAGGGTTTAGGGGTTTAGGGGTTTAGGGCTTAGGGTTTAGGGTTTAGGGCCTAGTCCTCCGGTCCAGGACTTACTCCAAGCCTCAAGGCCAAACTCCAAACCGTGAAACCCTATAGTCTTTTATTTGCAGGTTAAGAACACCGGTTAAAGTTACCCAGTAATTTGGCAAGTGTTGATGATGTGCACAAAAGCCACAAACTTTTCTGCACACCCTCAACTAAGGGCCTGGCACTATAGATCCTACTTGAAGGATCATGACCCTTGGTAGCTAGGGCTATCTTTCGGGTAGAATCACTTATAACCCCCGATGAAGGTACAACAAACTCACTTGTTCAAAGGAAAGGAAACCCGCAGGCCTGACAACCAAACATAATCCCTTAAGCCGCACGGTTTCGGACTTAGGTTGAAGGAAACTACAGGTGGGGAGCTTAGGGTATATAGGGCTTCTTTTAGGTTTCTATAGGGTCTACAGACCTTCTATAAGGCTCCTATAACGGTAACTACCCACCTGAAAATGCCCTAAACCCTAAACCCTAAACCCTAATAAACCCTAACCTAGTGCCCCTAATAACCCAGCACTACGAGCTGTTTCTTGAAAACCTCCTCGACTAGGGGTGGGCCGGCCTCCGTGGCAAGCATAATGCAGAGGCGTGTTTCCCGTCGACTCGAAACCCAAGTCCGGATCTGTGGGTCGCTGAAGCAGCTCCTTAATCTACTGGTTAGGGTTTGGGGCTTTAGGGTTTAGGGTTTAGGGTTTAGGGTTTAGGGCTGACCTAATAAACTGAAACAACCTTCATGAACAACTAAATACAAAACTGATGATGGGAATCCTGCAAAAAGTAGGTTATGATAGGTAAACGTAAAGCTTTTGGATCTACGGTTCACGTTGCTGTGGGCTGGTTGTACAGTCGGACCCTGTGTAGGGGTCTGACTTGCGATGAGAGTCTCTGCCAAAACAGCGTCTTCTTAATTAATGCGAGCACTAAAGTTCAACCTCATATATCTCAGATGCAAAACTTAGAGACTTAGAATCATGATCTCGGTGTTCTCGCTTTTTGAGAATGAGGTGATTAGTTCACAGCGTACTAAATCTCATGGCACTGGACTTTTGAGCTCACAACGTTGTAAGGTTTGCGGGGTTCCGACATTGCGGCATCTCCTCAATTGCCGTAGCATGACCGCGTTGAGCAGCAAGCGCCAATGCGCCAATTTCTTCATCGGAGCTTCTGGCAAAGTCATGCAGAACCACAAGCTGAACCTTAGTTGCTGAGTTCATACGCCCCCCAAAAGTCTGCACTTTCAGTTCCTTCAGGGATCATAGTATCCGAAAAAACCTAAAGTGTACTCATTCAGCTGCTAAGGAACATCCCCGACGATGCTCTCCAAGTTGTCAGAGTCTTCCAGGACATTATTGTGGTGCAAAAGCCGCTGCCAGAATCGAGGATAGCCTGTCAGCCAATGAAGTTGTTGCTTCAGGGACACCACATCACGAAGATCCCGTGACACCACAGCCACTTTCTCTCCAGACGCCCACCAAACGTGAAGGTCATCAGCCATAGCGAGAAGGCGTCGGAAGGCAATCTGACTTCAACACGGCTCGAAGATCCAAAGTCAACCCAAACCAATGAGAAAGTGATGGAAGTCGTAGTTGTGGTGCTAGCGCTAGTTCTAGTGCTGGTGACAGAGGCATTTTGTGTTGGCGGTTATTGCCAGACTGGTAGTAGTAGTAGTAGTAGTAGTAGTAGTAGTAGTAGTAGCAGTCGTCGTCGTAGTCGTAGTCGTAGTCGTAGTAGTAGTAGTAGTAGTAGTAGTAGTTGTAGTAGTAGTAGTAGTAGTAGTAGTAGTAGTTAGTCGTACTAGTAGTAGTAGTAGTAGTAGTAGTAGTAGTAGTAGTAGTCGTGGTGGTGGTGGTGGTGGTGGTAGTAGAAGTCGTAGTAGTAGTGGTAGTAGTAGTAGTAGTAGTAGTAGTAGTAGTAGTAGAAGTAGTAGTAGCAGCAGCAGCAGCAGGAGGAGCGCCAACAGCAGCGGGGCGGCAGTAGTGATAATAGTCGTCGCCGTCGTCGTCTTCGTAGTGGTCGTAGTCGCAGTCATAGTCAAAGTCGTATCCAAGTCGTAGTGGTCGTCGTCGTAGTAGTAGTCGTTGTAGTCGTCGTACTAGTACGTAGCAGCAGTAGTAGCAGCACAAGAAAATTTACAAGCAACAGTAGCCGTAGCAGTAGCAGTAGCAGTAGTAGCAGCAGCAGCAGCAGCAGCAGCAGCAGCAGCAGCAGCAGCAGCAGCAGCAGCAGCAGCAGCACTAACTCAAAAACAGTAGCAGCAGCAGCAGCA